GTGACCTTAGACCCACTCACTCAGTCTTGTGACTGGCCAGCCCCATTTCCCTTCTTTCTCTAAATGCCTTTCTGCCAGGTTTCTAGAACTCTAAGTTCATGTCCCTGACCCAACTAAACAACCTGGGAGGTCACTGCTCCCAGAACAAGGGAACAAGGGCACAGGTACTCTGTATCTCTGTTGACTACATCTTTATTCCCCCACCCCACAGCCCCAGAGCTCTTCACCCTAGGCAAGAGCGCCAGGTTTTCTGCTTGTCTGATTCTGTCCACAGAATGCCTCCCAGATGCAGGAGGTGGTCCTTTGTTCTCGGAGGAGCCCCCTCTGCCGTTGATCACCAGCACTGCGGCAGTACAGCCACAGCTCTTGCGTGTGGCCCCACCATTTTGTGTCACTACTAACCTCAGAGTTTGGATACTGTTCTTGCTCGCAGTACGCGATTTTGTCCCCGCGCGCAAAGCTGACACGGGTTTTACAAAGAGTACTCACTCACGACGCTGTTAAATTTCTTACCTTCCCAAAGATGGCCTCGGAGCGATGTGAAGCAAAGTCTGCCTGCGGGGACTACTTCTGACTACAACACAGTTCCCTTTGAACCCACGCCTGTGTGCACTGGCACTATTGAGACCCCTCTTACTATCACTGCTGATGGATGCTCTTTGCTGGACCCAGTGAGCCCCCAGGCTCCCATCTTGCAGTCTACAGTATGGTCATTGCCATTGGTCTTAACAATTCTTGCTTATCATCTCTCCCACAGTGGAAGGGTGAGGGCAGATGGATTCAGGGAATATTTACTGCAACAGCAAAATATAAATTTTTCTTCTGAAAATATCTTAAGAATTTTGACAAATGAAAAGACTTAATTCCCAAACTGCCACACTAAGCAAAACGTTCTTTTGTTATGTTCTGTTTGAGGATCCGATAACACGGCTAAGAACTATGACATACCATGCCCAGAGTCACAGACCTTTGGTGGCTAAGTCAGGATCTGAACCTCTAACTGCCAGGATGCTGAGTCTAATTTGAAAGCCGTAGTCTCTCCCTTCAGAGCACACTGTGGACTGGAATAATAATCTTGTTACGTTGTATCATGTTTGTTTTAGAGTCAAACTGGTTTACCCAGCTGGATAGGTTCCTTAAACACCACAGGGTAGTGAATGAATCATGTCTATATCCAAAACTCAAATCCACACTCAAGGAAGATCTAACCCATTGATAATGTTTTAAAGAATGTGCCTGGGGTCCTAAAGATAATTCCAAAAGAAGACTGATAAATTCTCTTCAAGGCAGTGCACAGCTTCCGAAGGCACCTCTGATCTGGGCCACTGGCCCTCCAGTGGTAATCATCTTGCAGGCTGTCCCGGCGTGGGGGTTGTTATTTCATTAGACCTGGCTGATAGATGTGACCTTCAGTGGGCTAGCTAACTTACCCAAGCCTCAGGCTCCTCACTCCTGACAGAACTGAGATAATGGATGGAACACACCCAGCCCTGAACAGAGGTGGGGCTACACCTGAGAAAATGATAATGGCTATCACCTGCCACAACATTTCTTTCAACCCAAGATTGGGGAAACCATTGCCCTAGGGAGACCTAGCTTAATGAAGGTGCCTCTGTTAGCCTAAATGGACCACACTGCAGGCAAAGGGCAGTTTGTAGATGTTACCTAAAATGCTCCCCAGTAAGCCTGTCTGCTCAGACCTTAGGGAAACAGTGCAGAGGGTCTGATCTCTGGATTCTGGTATAGTGTCCAGACTGCAACAGCAAAGGCCATTGTGACCATTCTGCCAAGAAGGCTGAAGCTTGGTGGGACATGGAACGGCCCTGAACCCTTCAAGAAGGGAACCATAGCCTAGCCCCAGGGCATCCATAATGTATGAGCTTCTCAATTATTTATAGTTGGCTCCTGAAGTAGGCTGTGTATCCTTAGATCCACTGGAGGACACTGGGGACCAATACCCGGAAAGTGGGTCCCCCTTCTGAAGAATAACTCCACAAGGAAATGTGGACTGGAGGGGGTGTTTTAATGGTAGCTACATGGTGGCAGTGATTGTCACCAAAGCCGATTTTTATCCACTTACTAAACTATTGCTGGCTGATTAAAACAAACAAACAATCAAACAAACAACTCTGTGTAAAATTCTTCAAATCTTAAGTCCATTTAAAAAAAGTTCTTGGTTGTACCATATGTCCTAGTTTAGAGCTCAGAACATCCATCTTTAGAGGGACAGGCTTTTTATATTTTCTGAGATAGGGATTATCTATAAGACATCTCCATGACAGGATTGTTACAAAGTGTTTAATTTTTCCATTAGGTTGACAGGACTGTTACAAAGTATTTAATTTTTCCATTAGGTGTTTCCTGTACCACTTAGAGAAGATGTAGTGCCATCCCCCTTAAGTGACTAGCCTCATTCACCTTCTGATCTTCAGTTTTTAATAAGAGAAAGGAAAGGCTCCACTGTGGGCAAGCTCACGGTTCATGGGGTCATATGCTCATGAACATGTATCATTAATTATGACCAGGGGCTGGGGAGGTGATGACATCCTCAGACATTTTGTCTGTGAAGGAGCTTGTAGCCATGGTCATTCTGGTGAGGTTGTTTACACTGGTACTTGGGGCCTATGTGCCCACATTCTCTGCATTACGTACTAACAACAGTTGTTCAGGGTCAGGAGCTCTCGTCTGTGATGCTGGCACTGTTACTAACCAGCTTAGGAATCGTAAGTCAGTCAGGTAGCTCTCAGGTTGTAATCTAGAGTGGGACACTGGAATTGAACCAGGAGCCATGGGGACTAAGGAGATCAAGACCCATCACAGAGTCAGTGGACACTCTGCTGCAGCCTCTTGGTCTGGCCAGTACTGGCCTAGACAGACCAATGTTCACCAGTCCCCTTTCAAGGGCATCAGTATGTTTATATTTTTATGTAAAATCTCCAGGCTTTATTTTAAACTTTAACAATTAGAGTCTAACAATGACAACCCCCGGGGGTTGCCAGTGTTGTTTCTCGCTCTTATCTAGATGTCTCAAAATTACATTCTAGCTTCTGTTCTTTTGTAAGCATACATGATTCTCAACAATGCAAACAGAAGGCTGAATGTAAAAGTTATAAAATTCTGTCCACCTTAGGTTTGTAAATATATAAATACTCTACATAAGAGTATCTGTTGGAAATACGCCCAAATGAAAGTTTTTGTGTTACAGGATTATAATTAGATGCCGTTTTCATATTGTTGATTGCTTGTACAAAGTGTCTTTCTTCTTTTTTTTTAATACTATTTTTTAACACAATGGTAAATGAAATATGAAGGGCAATGCAGGGTGGGACTAGACAGACTGAAAGAGAAATAGACAAGGGGTAACTAGGTGTTTTTGAAGCCTGTATTTCTCCTTAATCTTGGGGATCATCACTGAACCCTTAGTTGGGAGAGGCACTCACCATTTGGTTAGGCTGAGTGCTGAAGTTAAGTTTCCCACTTCACACTGCTCCTCTCTCTGTTCTTTCTTTATCCTTTTGTCTGAAAAAAAAAAAATTCCCCAACATGTAGTCTAGTGGTATCAGAAAAACTTCTTAATGTTATTGGTTTGGCTTCCGAATATTTTAGAAGAGGATTTGGTTTTGTTTCAGTGGCCAGGGAAAGGGTGGGGGAGGGAAGAGCAGCTGACTTATTGTCCCTAATTAAAACTGTCTTTGGTTTCCATTAAGAATGTTTTCATTCTACAAACCCACACCAACAGCCTGTAAAGTGAGCAGAAAACCATGGGTTATTTTTTCATGAGTCTATGTGGAGGTTCTTAGAAGACCCCACGTGAACTTGACTCTTTTCTAAACAAATTTGGAAGAGAATATTCACACAGTGCCCTTTGTATCATAAATGCAGAGGCCCTCCAAAGTCTGTTCCTCCTCTTACAGTGGCGGTTAGCAAGGACTGGGCCCACACTCGCATGGGGGTCATGCCTGCAGAAGGACTCCATTCTTCTATGCCTACTCCCAGTCTGCACTTATACTTTCTAAGCTACAGAATAAAAGACACAAAGTGTGACTATTGATCTTATTCAGCAATGGGCAGTTTGAAATGACACCAACATGCCCTAGAAATCATATTCGGAATCTGTGATACTGGGGATAGCTGATTACAGTATTTGGACTCAAGGAATTTGATGCTGACTTTACTGTAAGTGGTCCACTGTGAAAAAACAAACAAAACAAAACAAAACAGGACAGACCTTTTGCAGGCTGAGGCTAATGGATAAGAGAATGTCTAATGTTTCCTTGTAGCCTGTTGTCTTACTAGTATTTGGATTGCCATACAACTCTGATTTTTTGGAAATGGAAAAAGAGCCCCAAAATACCTTAGTAATTTAGTCGTCTCAAAATACCTACATATGGCATAAAATATTCTGAAAATTTTTTGAGAAAGTTTTTGTTTTTTTTCCTTTGTTCAATTTGATTATCATTTCAGTAAAACCAATTCAAATCTATTCCCTATTTTTACAGACATTTTGATAGTTAAAATTCTAGCTATATGAAAGTGTAAGAAAGATATGAAGATTTAATTGCACATGCTTCGGTTTTTTGAAGGAAATCTTAAAAACATAAGTAGGCTAAGAAATGATTGATACTTTAAATAGAGAATTCTTAACAATTGGCGTACATTTTTTTTTGAAGCCAGAAGACGCTGATTTACCACTGTTGAATCTGAAAGCAGATTTTTCACATATTGAGTCATAATTTGTAGGCTTTTTTTTTTTTTTTTTTTTTTTTAAAACCACCTTAACCTGCTCTTGAAGGGTGCCGAATGAGTCCTACTTGGTCTCTGTTTAGCCTGTGAAATTTAACGAGGCCATGGCCTGGGGTTGGTAAGTAAGGGCTGTGAGCCACAGCACCATCTCAGGTGTTCGATGACACCACAAACCACTTGGGATTCGTTGTGTGAGCAGATGTCATCAGATCTATGTATGCACAGGTGCAGCATGCAGCCAGTGGAAGAAAGAACACTGCATGTCGATATTTATTTTTGTACCCACACTCTCTGTGGCTACAAAATGACTCCGTGTGTTCTGGAAAGTGTAGAGTTCCAACTTCACTGAAAGGGCCTCTATAGTCATCTCTTGAAGTTCTCTGCAGATCCAGTTCTGAATGATGAGTAACAACTTCTTGTGCGAAAGACACTGTTTTTACAACCACTGTCTACAGAAGAGGCATAACGGGTCATGGTTAAAGGTTGCTAGAAACAATGAAAAATAAAACGTTACCAGAAGCTGAGACTTATGTTTGGCTTTTCCTCTCACAGGCTATGACATGAGATATGCATTCTCTTCTTGATAAGACCTGGACAGACAACTCCTGTCTTTTAACTTAGACAACATGTTCAAATCTGGCACTTTGTGAATGGCTAGGTTTCAGTCTCTCTAAATACTTTTAAATAAGAAAGAAATAATTAAAACTAAAGCTGGACAGCAATAAGAATACAGTGTGTATTCCTAAGATTTCATATAAATTCCAAATAACTATCCAGTTATTTGTAAGATTATGTTTGTTTGATTTTCCACTGAGTATTAAATATTCCACTAACTTTATTATATGCATTAAACTCAAATAGTTCCTGGTGAAACAAAAAACTAAATGTAATCTAATAAATTAGTATATTCCCTTCACTAATATAAAGTAATAAGAATGTGCTTCCTATATTTTTGGGAAATAGAGAAGACAAACACCTTAGAAGCAATGACTGAAAATTACTGGTTTAGAAGGGGCAGAGGAATTACTTCAATTATGACATAAAGCATTGTAATAATACATGACTTTGGGAAATAATTAGCAATTATTCTCAGAGATAAACACACAGATGTTGCTAGCATATTAAAACTTCTTAGTTTGAAGAAAACATACAGAAACTGCATTACCAGTTAATTGGCTTTCAGAAGAACCGGAAAAATCAAAAGTGAGAACTTGCTAGAAGCTCCAAGTACTATGGAATGAACTGTTTGCAGTTTTAGGGAGATGGTACCTAGGTCCAAAATGATCAAACAACATTGGCCATTAGACAGTGATTATTTTTAAAATTAGTAATTAGTTATAATTTCTTTAAAAAATTCTGAATATAAGAAGGTATTAAATCTTAATTATATTCTTGGAAAGGTTTTGCACCAACATCATTTAAAAAGAAACACCTACAGTAAAACATTCCTAATTCACACTTGTATATTTATTCATGTTTCCAAATATAAAGCCCAGAAAATCAGCAATGTAAATCAAAAGATGATAATCACTTGCCGATTGAAGGACTGACAATACATTGAGGTGAACACAAATCTGTAAGAGATTTCTGTAGACACACTTGAAAATGTATCTCCTTATTTTGCAAATGTGGAGCATCATCTAATGATGCCGTGCGCATATTTGACAGGCAGAAGAGTGATCGGCACGGGACCAAGTATTCTTATAGCCGTCACATGTTGAAAGGAAGGAATGACATGCCGACAGAAAAGGATAATCTACGAAAGCCTAAAGGTGACATGCATGGGTACATTTTATCACTAGAGAATACGCTTAAGAAGAAATCTCCTGACAGATGACAAGAGTTCTGTATCTTTCCATGTCACAATAAGAGTGGGAACATTCTTTCTTCCCCATCATTTTTTCCTTTCTCTTTTTGCTTAAGACATTTCCGAAACCAAACTGGATTCTTTCTACAATGTCATTTCTTCTTTGCATGAGCTAGATGTTGAGAAGGTTGGGAGTGCACTGTGGGTTTCCAACGGTGACAGGAGGTACCTCCTGTGACACGCGTGGCTGAGCGCTGGTAACCCCGCCTCTGTCAGGCTCCCCTGCTCTATACACTTTTTCATTTAGCTCATGGGATTTTCCACATTATATGTTAGGTCTGGAATGCTTCACAGATACATTTGACCACAGAACTACCATCAGTAAATCCTAGGATGCAAAGCCATTTGTTTGTAACTCACTTGCATTGGCTGTCTGTGTTCAGTGAATTATGGCCACACTGGCTAACACGGAGCAAGGCAGACCTTGAAGGGAAACATTTCCCTCAGAAGTGAGAGCGAAGTGTGTTGGTGATGATGCATGTGTGTGGTTCATCCCCTTCCTAAAATCTGTGTAGCTATATAGACATACACATCGCCATGCTGGTGTTTGGGGAGGGGGCATTGGGAACTGTTAAACTTTCAGCTAACAGCCCTTTCTAAAAATGGTGCATTTTCTAAAATTTAATTGGGTAACTCATCTTTTATTTTGGATTAATAATCTTAAGCACCGAAAACCCGTATGCATATTATGCATGAACAGCCAAACACCATTCATATATGCTTCTGTGTATATTGGAAGGGGTCGTTTTTGTAATCAGGCCAAATATCTTCTTAATTTACAGTGTACATTGTAGGGACTGCTAACCTTAACAGTATTGTTTAAGGTCGTCAGAACTTTGAGGGTAAACATAATTGGGATTGAAATACCGACATGTTCGAGATAAGAACAATTTATTGGGGGTGATTTTGGTCTCCCTGGTAATCATATAATTGAACAGGGTTTTTAGAGGCTATTTGAAGCTATTGTTGCCTGTTGAGCAATTATATAATTAGGATCCCTGTAATAAAATCTCCAAACACATGTGGGTTAGTAACTAAGTGCAGTATGGCTAATGTTATATTTTTATCTTTAAAACCTTACATTTTCAAGCACAATTTTATAACGACTTTGCTTGATCCTTAAGTGTTGACCACGAAAGTACAAAAGTGTACTTAAGATGAAAATGATTGGATTACTTTAAATACAGGCATCCCCTCGCCCCCTGTATTTAACTTTCAATACTACTCATTAAAACAGGTTTATTTGTTCGCGCTAACGCACTAACCAATCCCCTTTGGAGACTAGGAGTCTTTGGACTTCTCTGCTTTCTCCCCCACTTACTATGGCCCATCTCTGCCAATTTCTCGCACCTTCTAAGCGACGCGCACCCAACTCCGAGCGCTTGAAAGCTAAGACCGCAGAGAAAGGGGCCTCTCGGACTCAGTCTGCACCGAAGCCAGCGAGGCACGGGTCGCAGCGCCGGCCACGTGGAGTGGATCCCGCAAGGAACCGCAGCCAGTAGCCCCGGGCAGAGCTGCACCCACTGCCCCGCCACCCAGCGGCGCCACGCCCCCCACGGCAAGGGCCCGCCCACCCGCGACTCCTCCTCTCCGCGCCTTCCCGCCGCCAGGCGGAAACGAAGAGCGGCTTC